TGCAATAATTTCAACTTTTACGGAAAGAAAAATTACAAATGTATATTTAAGGAATTAACCGCGCAAGAAATTGAAGTACGATTTGGTTCACAAGAAGAATCAGAAGAAAATGAGCAAATGGATTGGTTCATTGATCGTCGTGCTGCAAATTTTCGAGAACGTCGACGGATGTGCAGTATAAATGTTGCTTTTATGGTAAATAATTTTTATTTGTTACATTAATTAGCATATTTATGGTAAAAATTCAAAGTTAATATGAAAATTTTCGGGAATTGTAAGTTATATTATTTCATGAAAAATCAAATTCAATGGTATACTTTATTGTTTGTCTTAAATAGAAGAAAATTAATTACAAATCAAGCAATTCATATGCGCAAATTAATTCATTAATATTTCATAAAAGCTATGATCATTTGAATGATAATAGAAATTACTGCATTGATAAGAAACTTTTAGCATTATATAATTACTTATAAGTAGTAGAATGATTAGCAATAAATTATCGGCGTTAATGAGTAAAATAGTGAATTTTTGACTACTAATTTTCTAGTAAAAATGTGTGCATTTTGTTCACTCTCTCACTTTTTCTCTATAGCTTTAGTTCATTTATGGAATGTATTGTGAGAAAAGCTTTGTTAGCATTGGATGAATGTGAAATTCCAATTTTCCAATAAGAAATCGATATTTCTTAATCATTGTAGCCATTAATATTCATTGTCTATGCTTAATATTGTTATTAAAATGGCACTTAATGAATGAATAATGATTAGTGAAACGGTGGCAAGAATATATTATAAATAATATTTGCAGAAATTACGTCGATTTATCCCAACATTTCCATACGAGAAACGTTTATCCAAAATAGATACATTGAATCTGGCAATTGCATATATTTCACTTCTTGAAAATCTATTGAACAGTGATCATCAAAACATGCATGCCTATTTGAAAGAAGCTCTTATAATGGCTCGATCCGGAAATCCACAAGCACCACCATGGAGTACCAGCGGTTTGTTACTCTTTTTTTTTTTCAACGATATTGATGAATGTTTTTGATGAAAAACAAGCTCATAAGCACATAACGAATTTTTCATTAGCATCAGTTAGGTAGTTTTTTTCTTGAAAAACAAACTTCTATTTGTTTTAGCGTCAAATTTAGCAATCATGTTACAGTAAAACTTTTAATATGGATAAATCAACTAACTTCATGCTGATATTTTATAAAAAAACTTTCATAATTATTTCAAACTTTTTTGAAAAATACATGTATAATTTTGCTTGTATTTTTCGCTACACATCACTCTTCTTCTTTCCATTCCCAATTCGTTTATTAAATTTCAATTCAAATATATTACAGATCTTATAGCACGTCTTAGTTGGATTAATTGGAAAAAACTGGGCATTAAACCAATGTAATATTTCATACTATACGTCACTGTAAATTCCTCATGTAATAATATGAAACAGTAAAAATTCTTTAAATAAAAAATAAAAATATTATGAATTTCGTACTTTTCCACCGAATACTTGTTCAACACCCGTTAAAATTGCATTTAAACTGAATGGATCATCTGGATTGGTGCAGCGTGATCCAATTAAAGAATCCTGAAAGATTGAAAGATTTAGAAAAGAGTAAAAATGTTAATAGTTATAAAAGGAAATAAATTATTACTTGTTTATAGCCGCACAAACATTGACAAGTACCAAAGCGACATTCTGAGAAATTTGGACATTGCTTATTTGTCACACATCTCTCTGATAGATGTACTCGTCGTACACATTTATCCATAACAGGAACTTCATCGATTCCACAACTTTTCTCACATGTTGCAAATCGACCATCATTACTCTGTAAGAAATTAACGATGACATTCAAATCATTTTCACAACAATGAAATATGCGAAATGTCTAAGCTGCGTTGTTGCGAGTCAATATCATTGCTAATTAATTTGCACAAATATGAAAATGATGACTAAGCTCTACTAATAATTAATTTGCGCTACAATTAAAATATCTCACCGACGGCATCATTTTGACAGTACTGTAGAGAACCACAATAATAACATCATTGTTCAGGAAACGAGCCTTTTGTTGAACCAGTATTGCTCAGAAAATCCATCAATACTCTAAAAGCACCTTTTCAAGCCTACCTCGTTGCATGTCAAAAATTGCTTGCAATGAAATCATTGTTAAAATTATTTTATCTAGAATTTTCAAATTTTGACATTTTTTAGATCTATAATTGTCTCGTTGAGTCATCCTGAATTCATTTCAAATGAACAAAATATACATAAACGAAGTCACATTCATTTTAAAACAGTTACAGTAATCGAATTGCTCTGATAAAACAACTGATCATCACTAAAGTAAAGCTTAGTCATTTGAAAAAAAAAAGAAATTATCGAAAAGATATCATATTTTGTATCACGCAACAACGACAGTTAAGACATATCGCATCATCTCACGTTCTCACGTTTGATTTCTTAATACTTAAGTAACATAGAACTTTCTATATTTAAAACCATTGTTGTAGAATGTTTCAGTATTGCATTTGAAAAATTTCATTATTCTTTGGAGATTTCATTCATGAAGATGAAAAAAGAAAATAAACAAACGTAAAATGTTTTCATTTGCAATCATCACTAAAAATTGAAATACTAATTTTACGACAATGAAGAAATTATATTTTTTCCTCACATACAAAAAATTTCGAAATTTTTTCTAAGCAATTTTTAGATAAGTGAAAGATGAATAAATGATGAAAGAAAAAAAAAATGCCGTATCATGTATTTTAAGTTGAACTATGCTATAAACCATGACATTTATCGCTTCCTCTACACCAGTAAATTCAAATTCAAATATATGTGACAACTACTATTAAATGCATCCTTTATAAAATTTAAACGATAACTTACAGGATGAAAACCATCTTTGCACTGACATAGCCCCAAAACACAGTGCATTGTTACACCACCTTCACACTGAAATTTCAAATTTGAAATTATCACAATGATTAATTATTGCAATTTAAAAGTTTTGCAAAGATTGTGATTCTCCGAAATATTGCTAAATGAATGTTATTTAGGAGAAACTTTATTTAGGATAAAGTGTACGCTCATTATTCATTAAAATGAATTAAATTTAGCAAAGTGAAAAGTAAAGAGGTTAAATAAAGTTAACGGAATTAATGGAAAAAAAAGAAAAGAAAACTTGTTGATGAAGCTGACAGGGATCCTCTCTATGCGCTATACTTAAACACTGATTATTAATATAAAGCGGTGTTGGATCGCGACATGGCTTTGGACAACATAAACTTGTTTTCCAGCCAGGCTCCGAAATTGTGTAACAGTGATGAGTAAGCGGTCGACATCGATCTTTCTCGGAGACACCCATATCGCATGATTGCCTTAAATTTTGGAAATTGCAACATCATTTCCGATCCAATCAATTGTATACTTATGCAAATAAATTTAAATATTCTAATTTTAGATGAAATTTTTTCCTAATTTGTTGGGAAAAAAAGATGCAAAAATGACAAAGTATAACGTTAAATCAGGTTCTCCATAAGGACACTTCAATTTACAGCAATGTCCCACGTACGGACTACCGTACGCTACGCATCGATAACCCAAAGGACAGCTATCAGTTGATGCAGCATTTTCAAGCATATCAATATCATTGATAAAAAGTCGCCGACAAGCTTGCTGAGGTTGTGTTCCATCCGGGCATACTGGAAATTTTTCATTAGAAGCAATTATAAATTCATTTCAATTCTTTGCGATTTTACATCTATCAAATTAGTTTAAGTTTATTCATAAATTTTTTATAAATAGTAATTAATATATGTTTTCAACTAAAATTCAACACTTCAAAATGTTTAAAACTACCTGTTACCCTTACAATCTTAGATATGTTTATTTATGGATAAAAATGTTCACTTGTGTTAATTACATAAATTTAAATTTCTTTATAAACATACACGCAAAACATTGTTGTTTGGCTACATCATGTGTGGTACCAGGCGCGCATTGACATACTCCAGCAATACATGCATTGAAAACGTCAACACATTGATTGTCCTTTTCGCAATTCTGTCCCCAATGTGCTACTCTTTGACATTCTACTCCATATAATTGTTGTCCTGTTGGGCATGCTAAACTATAGCTCTATACATTTTTTTTTTTCAAGGATATTTGAGTAAAGTTAATCAGAAAAAAAATTCTTAATTTTAAAATCAACATTAATGAAAAAACTTACACACGACACACTCTCCGTTGATAATGCTACCACCCCAACATTCACATTTCCCATCTCGACAAAGAAGTGGTGGTTTGCAGTCTCTCTGACAGCTGTCACCAATTTTATTCGGAGCTAAACAAAACTATGATTTAAAATATCAAAAACTGCTAAGAGATAAACTTGAAAACTTTGTTGGCTAAAAATTTTGAAAGTCAAAAAATATACATATAAGTTAATTTCTGGAAAAGAAAAAAACAAAAAAGGATCGTTTAATGAGAATGTTTCATTTTAAGAGAAATGAAATCGCGTCTTTAAACCAATCTAACAATTCTTAATCATACCATTCAAGGAAACTTTTTCTAATTCAAAATAACAAATAAATAAATAATATGTATATAAATTGGTTAATTATAAATTAGTTAAATGATATATTTCAGTAAAAATTGAGAGAAATCTAATTAATGATACCTAATCTGCATATAGTTGTCTGTCCATCAATATCAAACTCTTCGAAATTTGTTGGGCATGTACATCGTTGCTCCCGACAAACACTATTCATGCCATAACAATCTTCATCAAATAAACACTTACTACCAATTAATTTTTCTGTAATCAGTGTATCTTTCATAAAATTTTATTTGTTAAACAATTAACCAAATTTTAAAATTAAAATCAATTCAATTAATATCATTCTAGTGGAAATTTTCTTTTGTGAAATCTTGACATTAGCATAATTATGATACATTAATTACTACTACTAATTCTACTAAAAAAATTCAATGTTATTTAAGGTTATTTCCGGATTCCTACTTATCGCATTTGGAGATAATCACAAATGATTGAAAAAGTTTGATATAATGAAAAAATATGTTCGAATCGATCGATATATGTTATAATAACTTACGTGTGCAAGGTACATCAAAACCGTGAAAAAGTTTGATGAAATGGAGTAAAGCTGTTGTGATGACACTCAAATGGTACGTCGCCATTTAGATTCAATGGAATTATTCCTTTCGATAATGTGCGTACATGTATGTGTGTGTGTGTGTGTGTGTGTGTGTGTGTGTGTGTGTGTGTGTGTGGTGTATGTGTGTGTGTTGTGTGTTTCTGTATGTGGGTATATATGAGATGAAGAATGCATTACACCTTTAGGGAGATCTAGGTCGATGAGCGATCATCAATGTGACAAGTTTTTCTTCGATATATATCGAAAGTCACACATACCTAAAATGATACGGACACACACACACACACACACACACACACACA